ATGAAGGAGAGGACAAATAGGACACAATTAAAATCTAAGAATAGATTAGTTAAAGTAGTAATTATATATAGTTTAACTTAGTACTAGAAGTCCTTAAAGTACTATCTATTAAAGTCTGAAAGGTAAACTATATGTACTTTCTTTCTAGAACAGGTTGTAACTTCTAGAACAATTAGAACAGGTTCTGAGAGAGTTAGGAGTACATAGTTAGTAAAAGTCTCTTAAATAAAGGTTTATACATATTAAGCTAAGTCTACTTATAACTACTAATCTAGTAGAATAGTAAGGGTAGTAGTTAGTATAGAAGGGTCTATATTTATACTATAAAGGAATTAGTACTAAACTAAAAGGGGTAATAAATAGAAGAAGGGTAGTAAAAGTTTAAAAGGGTTTAGAAAGTTTAAAATTTAAAAATGTAAAAGGGTTAGAACAAAGAAAAGAGATTAGTATAATAGTAAGTACTAATGTCTAAAACATAAGAGAGTTGTAGAGTAGTAATAAGTAGTCTTAATCTGATGTTAGTAACAATATAGAGAGGACCTAAAGGCTTAGTAAGAGGACCTAAACTATAACTATTCTATATAATAAAAATACAGAATGTAAGTATTAGAACATAGTTAGAACTTACAAAACAGACAGAGAGAGAGAGTAAGATAAGAGTAGAGTATATAGAGTAAGTCTAAGAGTACAGAACTACTTAGAGTAGATAAGATTAAGACTATAGAACTAGTCTAATCTTGTACACTTATATATACTAAACTATATAAGAGTACTTAAAGAGTATAAGCTATTAAGAATAATAAGTTATAAAGAATGAAAGAAAGAAAGGTTAAAGATAAAGGTACAAGGAATGAAGGGATAGATAAAGAGTAAGAAACTATAGAATGAACAAAGAATGAAAGGGTGGTTAAAAGAATAGAATAATAAAGTAAGGAGAGGTAGTAGTAAGAGTTAGTATATATATAGTTTATAAACAGTACCTCTAAGAGACAGAAGTCCTGAGTTCTAGTACAGAAGAGTGTAGAACCCTTAGAACTAAAGGTATAAGAGTAGAGAACTGTAACACTTTTCTCCCTTACCTTCTTACTTAATAGCTAACATACAGTATTAAGTATGTATAATAGTAAAATCATAATCTGTAATACAAGTAATTAGATAAGTATTTCTTAATACTTTGAAGACTATTCTAACAATAGTACTTGTATTAACTTCTCTCCTAATAAATTACATACTGTTTTATACTTGTAAAACAAAATAACAAGAATTATTAATATGTTTAATCAAGTTAACTACTTTATAACAGTTAAAACTAATACAGATAATAAACAACTACTTAAACTTACTAAAGTTGACAAGGTTAATATAATATAGTTATTACTAAAAAATAATAACTAGGACTTTAAGGACTAGCTCTAAGTATAAATAGTTAAGTATTTAGACTAAATAACTAACTTCTTTTATAGGTTCTACTAAATATTTGTTATACATTCTATTTACCTTAGAGTACTATTCTTAACAGTACAGTTTTAACAAGACTAGACTTTAAATGTACTATACTTAGAAATTAGTAGTAAGAACATTTTAATCTGACAATTAAGATCTTTACTTACTTACAAACTAAGACAATGTTTATAATCTAGAGAATAAGTTATTAACTAATTTAGAAATATAGTTAGTCATCTTTACAGATTTTGAACAGAGAGCTAGTACTTGTGAAATTTATAAATATATAGTTCTACACTAAGTTGTTTACTTACTCTCCTATTTTATATTTGTAAGTGTTACCTTCTTCTATTACTTATTATTCTTTATAAAGTAGTAAGTATATGTACTTATAGAGTATTATTAAGTGTAAATGTTTATTATTACTACAGTTCAAAGTAAGTAGGTTCTAGGCTACAAACTGGATTATTACATTTTACTTTCTAGTCCTAATAAAATACTGTCAAGATTTTAACATTCAAACTATTACAGTCTTTTGTAACCTCTAAGGTTATACACATAACTTTAGTTAAGTATATAAAGGGCTATTTGTAAACACTTAGAGAGTATCTTTGTACTTACTCCTATACTTAGGTCAACCTCTCTAATCCTAAGTCTTTACCTGTTTTATGTTCTTGAGTAAGACTCTAGCTTTTACACTTTTTTTAAAACATTGTAAAATTTAAGAATTACCTTTTATCTACTACCTTTTACTTATACTACTAGATTGTCAGCCTCTCTCTAGCTTCCTCTTACACATTTACTATCTACTATACATTTATAGTACTCTATAGTAAGACTCTAGTTAATTATAAGTATTACAAATACTATACAAATATTCTATTCTCTCTTAAGAGCTTATAGAGAGATTGTTACTACCTACTAACTAACCTTTAATCTCCTAACAGACTCTTATTAGAAGTCTCAGACTTCTAGGAGAATGTACTATAAAGATTGTATATAATTGTGTTAGAGTAGAGTATGTTACACATTATTATAAGTCTAGTTAACTGTTTACAATTAAGGTTCTACTACTTAAGAATATACTTTACTATACTATTTTAAGTAAATTATTTACAGACTTACTCTTACTTATAACCTTTCTACTACTTATTACAATCTTAAGCTAGTGTTTAGAAACAAGCTGTAGAAGCCTCTACTATCCTATTCCTAAAATCATTCAAAGAGAATACTATCTTAGTACTGTTACTAAGATTAGAAGCTACTATACAATTACTCTACTAAAACACTATTAAGAAACAAGCTATAGAAGGACTTACTGTCCTAGTCCTAAAATTGTGTAAGAAAGTACTATTTTAATACTATTACTAATATTTAGAACTGTAGTGTAATTCTCTTTAGAAGTTATAGGTTTTATACTAACAGATACTGTTTACTTTTAATATAATAAACATTATAATTAAGCTGTCAACTATAGTGTATTTGTTGTATACTTGTTATACTTACTATAATGTGTATCTCTCTATTATTAAAGTGTTTGTTAAGACTGTCTATTTCTTACTATACTATCTCTTACTCTATTACTATCTAGTATCTACTATTATTGTCTACTATTTACTAAGAGTATAAAGTCCCTTTCCCTTCCCTTCCTGTTTTCTAGAGTATAAAGCCCTTTTTCTAGTTATAGACCTAGTTAGAGTACTAAGCCCTTACTAGTGTCAATTCTAGTCCTAAACATATAAGGCCTCTACTAGTATTACCTTCTATTTTCTAGAGTATAAAGTCCCTTTTCTAGTTGTAAACCTAGTTAGAGTACTAAGCCTCTACTAGTGTTAATTCTAGTTCTAAATGTTTAGAGCCTCTACTAGTATTACTTTTAGTCTTAAACCTTGTTAGAGTATTAAACTCTTACTAGTATTATTCCTAGTTATAAACCTAGCTAAGGATTATACTCTACTAGTATTATTCAGTCCTGTCCTGTCCTGTTCTGTCCTATCCTGTTCTGTCCTGTCTTTATTTGTTCTTCTAGTATAAACAGACCCTTTGTTACCTTTATATACTCTGTTTTACTTACACACTACCTGTACTCTTATTACTCTCAGAATTAGTGTGTTAATTTTGTTAACCTAGTCCTTCTACTCCTTTTAGTACTAATACATGTTTAAGAATAACTATTCACTTCTCAACTATACATTTTAATCATTTTTTTCCTCCTCTAAGTAGTAAGTACTAGTATAACTAAAGAGTTATTAAGTTCTCTTTATTATACACTCTAACTTTTATACTCCTTTTTACTTACACAACTAAAAAAAACTCTTATCACCTTTAACACCTAGTCTACTGTTAGTCAAACAAGACCTTCTTAATTGTCTTCTCCTTATCTATAGTAATACTGTACTTACTAGACCTGTTAGGTATTATTCATACATTCCTTATAGTACAGTTTTATGTCTTAACTATTATGTACTCCTTGTCCCTATCCTTATCTCTGTGTGTTTTTATTAACAAGTTGAAGCCTTCTTAAACTTGTAACTGTGTGTTCCTTATCTTCTGTCCTTACCCTTTTGTACTTCCCCCCCCCTCTTACTATAATCTTCCATTTTACCTCCCCCCCCCTTTACTATATCTTTTCCTTTGCCTCTCTATTAATTACTTCCTTACCTCCTCCTTTTATTTCTTCAGAGTAGGGAAGAGTGTAACCTCTAAGGTTATATACATAACTTTAGTTAAGTATATAAAGGGCTATTTGTAAACACTTAGAGAGTATCTTTGTACTTGCTCCTGTACTTAGGTCAACCTCTCCAATCCTAGGTCTTTACCTGTTCTGTGTTCTTAAGTAAGGCTCTAGCCTTTACACCTTTCTAGAAAATGATAGTAGTTACAACTTTTTTTTTACCTCCTTCCCTATATGGCAGCTACCTTATTAAGTACTGGTTGAATAACAGTTGTACACATATACCTCTTCTTCTATATAGCTAAACATCTTTTAAAACACAGATATAATAAAAGATAGTTTTCCACAACTCATTTCTTCCAATTTTTTGACTCAGATGTACAAGACATTCACATTTTTGTTTCTTCTATGAACTTGTGGGAAGAATGTCTTACCTAATACTTGAAAGTAAACATATTTACCTGGATTTAAATTGAACCTGATCATAACTGGTATAAGTCATAGTAAATATAAGATAATTGAGTAGCATTTATACTCTTAGAGTGTTAAAATCAGATATAATTAGAGATTATTGAGTGTTAGCCTTGTTCTCTCAGTACCTCTGGGGAGTTGCTATATCAGGAAGGTGCCAGAAAAAAAAAGTTGCAACTGCCATCATTTTCCGGAAAGGCTGTAGACGTTAGTCATATTCTAACATTAATAGGTTGCATTACGTAATCATTAATTATGGCCATAGCCAGAAAAAGCTACTGTGTCGATCATGTTATTGTCTTCGCCCGAAAAGGGCATCTCTGCATTCTACGAATACGAGCAAAGGTCCAGCGACATAGATATAGTTCCGCTCAAAGGCTGATGCCAACGTTCCTTCTTAACTTGAGCCCACCATGCCCCCTCTTTGTCGCTTTCACCGTGCCTCTAGTCTGGCGTTGTCGGGGAGACTGCTTGTCACTCGCATTTTGTTACTGTGGCATGGTACCGGCCTTAGGGACTTGACCGTAGCCGCTCTATTTTGAACAGAGGACTCTTTGGCTCACGCAAGACGTAGGAGAGAATAACTGTGGTGATGCTGATAGGCGGAACGCGACTAAAAACTGCAGACTAGCTCGAGGCATGGCTGAACTAGAGGCACTGATGGTCCTTTGTACTTTACGTCCTTATCCAAGATATTCTGCAATCTCATCTATTGGAATGGGTTTACTGGATGGGTGGGAGTGTAGTACTTAGCCTGACAATATTCTGTTTGTAAGTTTGACTGACTTCTTCAATTCAATGATGGTGTCTCACTAAAGTCGGTGTCTTTAGACCGCACAAGTTGAGGATATACGTTCAGGCTGTGTACCTTCAAAACCCACCCACTGCCAGGGCCAACACCACCTTTATGAAGAGGGTGAAGCACGAATGTTGTTAAGCGAGTGTAGTTTGCAAACAGCACTACCACGTTCACCTTTGAAGGTGTTGTGTTACGATTCGGGATGAACGGCCATTCCGAGTCAAGTTATATTTCAGTTCTTGGTTCCCTTCTCGATGATATGATACCAATTTAGCTTATGGTCGCGGTCCTTCTCAGAAATGCAGGAGCGCAAGAAAGGTGGTTGCACATGAGACGGGTGTCTCATCCTCCGTCTTACAGACAAATAGGCTTGGAAATTGCCAATAGTCGTTCAAATATCGGACGTCGGCAAGCGCGGTGTAGCCATACTGAGGTGAAGTCCGAAGTTCGTGTCCCCAATCCCTATCACATGGCAACGCATCTATCGTGGACCACTCTGGGTTTCGGTCTAGCGGTATGCAACATCTTTCGTGCAGTGATGATTGATCTTTGGTTTCGTGGTGGCGGAATTGCAGTTCATCTGCGATCTACCACTGGTCTAGCTCCTTCTAGGGACGTACCTGGCTAAGCTTTCGCAGAACAGCAAGCTAGAGCTCAGGGAGGATTTGAAGTAGTTGGTTATGTCCAATTTCTCATCGACGGTAACCGGGCTTCCAACCAGATCTAGATGTTTGGTTCACGCATTATCACCAAAGGCTGCTACCTCATGGAATCGATATCTCAGAAGTAGGCAGTGAGTGCTCTCTCTTGTGGAATTCTGGCTCTTCATCGCCCATGCATCACAGTCCTGTGCTGCTCTCTTATCTACTATTTTTAGGTTATACTCTTCTACACCAAAGGGCATTTTGCAAACGGCGTGGGATAGCTCATATCATTGGTCCTTCTTATTCCCCCCGCTAGACATTTGCTTGTTCCCTTTTCTGTTCTTTGAAGTCTGAATGGAATTACGTAACGCTGTCCTTCCGTGGCGGTTCGTCAAGGTTTGGCCAAAGTGCATTCAGGGTGCTAAAATGGGACTACTTCGATGCTTCTGTCGATATTACCCAAGATCTCGGATGCAAGGCCTGGATAGAAGACTGGTGGGATCTGACTGTCAATTTTGAGTGACGCGGTGTAACAGGGTGCGGCGACCAAGAAACATCAGAAATTGTGCTGGCGCTATGAAAGATTTCGTGGCTTGGAGAGCTGTCGTTCTAAGTAGCTGACGCTATCATCTAGATCTGCAGACACTCTGAATAGATCTGAGCCTCGTCATTTATCTCTCAACATTCGTTCCTTACGAGGGACGAGATATTGGCAGACCTCGATTTCGTACTTTCCTCAGCTTACTAAACTTGACAGGATGGCTGTTTGTTCCCTTTGTGTTCGCAAGCGGTTGTATCACGGAGCTAGAATCAAGGCCTATTTCCAAGTGTTAGCTTGCGCTAACGACGGATGCATCTTCTCAAGAAGTCTGGAGCATTTGCCTGATTGATGGCCAATTCGGCGATCTGACTTGAGACGATTGCTGTACTTGTATTACTGCAAACCGGAGATGTCAAATCGTTGCGAACTGAGGCGTATGTCGTTGCTCTATAATGGTTTGACTGTTCCCAACATTTCTACTGCAGGTGTGGATAGTGGCGTCACTCGTGTTATGGTGCGTGTCATAGTCCGCATCGACAACGCCATGCCTCCGAAGACGATAGACATGTGGCAATCGCAGCTCTGCTTCGTCTTAACAGTAAGTACTACGGTTGCAAAGTTATGATATTCGCAGCGTATTGAACATTCCTTATAGAGTTGTGGTTTCGGCCAGTGTTGGAGTCGAATTTGCCTCCAACGTGATGATCACTCGGTATCACTCGGTTGCTGTCCCAGGAACTCCCGCTGACCTTTGCGCTGGCGCGCTCAATCTGTTCTGGGATGAAAGGGAACGAATCCGGCAACGTCCGTGAAAGAGACGTCCAAATCGGGAAATAAGCGTTGTGACGAAAAAGGCAGTTGTTGAGTCTCGCTTATGTGCATCGAAACTGGATTTTTTATTCGTCGCGTTGACGGTTGGGGGTTTCATGTCGTTATAAATATAAGCCACTTGGTGAGTGTAAGGATCCAGACTCCTCTCATCCTCGCGAGCTGTGTCTTGCCAAGTCTCAATCATCTAACGTCTACCAAACTTCTTATTTACAACATGCGTGCTCTGTCAATCATTACCGTCATCTCAATCATTTCTGCTGGTGAGTTACTTAGTGTCTCCCCGCATTTTTCCCCGTCGGATCATACTGACATGGGACCGTCGTAGTTCTCGCAGCTCCCATTCCTGAAGCTGAGCCTGAACCGGGATGTGGCCGATTCTGCATTCGCGTAAGTCATTTCCCATACATTATTAGTATTTGCATTGGATTTCTAATACAGTATCCCCCTTATACAGGAGGCAGAGGCGGCACTTATTGCTGTGCCAGAACCCATTGTGAAGCGTCTGCCCAGTGCTGAGGCTGAACCCGAGCCAGGTTGTGGTCGCTTCTGTATTCGTGAAGCGGAGCCCGAACCAATTCCCGAACCCGAACCCGAGCCAGGTTGCGGCAAGAACTGCACTCGTGACGCAGATGCTGAACCCGAACCTGAGTCCGAACCTGAGCCCGAACCTGAGCCCGCACCAGTTGAAGAACGTGGATGTGGCAAGAACTGCACTCGCGATGCTGAAGCAGAGCCTGAACCCGTTCCCGAACCTGAGCCAGAACCGATCGAGGATCGTGGCTGCGGCCGATTTTGCATTCGTGAAGCCGAACCCGAACCTCTGTGAGACCGATGGATGCATATTGTCGAACATCTCTTTTCCTTCATCACGTCGCGCTACATTCATCCTTCCCAACTCGAAAACCCCTGCTTTTCTTTCAAACTTTACGCAAAATTTTGCAGACGGAGGACCCGATTGCGCCGCGTTCCGTCCGCCTCGACCGTCACTCACCTCTCATTGCGCGTATCTATCTTCTTCGCGTTCCACTACGCTCCTTGTCACCGTGTTCGCATTGATCCTGGCTCCCTATGTCTTTGGTCCTGTTGTTGTGCTCTTACCTCTGCCATCATCATCTCTCGCCTGTTGTGGTGGTGGATTATCCCTTGTTGTGACCCTCGCTTGCTCACTTTATCATTTCTTGTTACTGCCGTTGCTGGGTCAGTAGGTGGTGTTCGTTATTTAAGGATTTTCGCATTACTAGTATATTCAGCTTTAGATTATCCTGCTTTGTTGTCTCTTTGCAATTCTTGACGGACTCGGTATTGTCGTCTGCCGCAATCAATGTGTGTATTATTATGAATATGAATAAACATTTTGGAGCAAACCTCTTTGTGTATGAAAAAGGGGGGGAAATTGCATATGTAGTCTCTGTGGACACTTCTGCTAAGTCATCTTGCATATGAACGGTGTTCAGTGCATAAGTGCAAATGTCTGGAGGTTGTCATAATTAGAGACCATGAAGAAAGGATTGAGAGGAGCGAAGCAATTGATGACACAATAGTCCTGTAGTTGATAAACTTGTGGAATTTTCATCAGGATGTAAAGAACGTGCTACATTGTTTGGTGGACAGGAAGCTTTTTTTTCGTTGTCAAGTTAGGGTTGTGTTGAATGCTTCGCTATGGAGTATGGCCGTCTTTGAGCATGCATCCATGGATTCTGAAACAGAGTGTGCTATTTGTTATTGGGAAAAGGGAACCACCAATCTCAGAGTAAAAGTTTAAAGTAGCGCAAGAACTGAGAAAACAATGTGCAGCCGCCTGGCGCCAGCGGTAGAATGAATTACGTAAACACAATACTATGTCACAGCGTGACCAAGCAGAACACGCGACGTCGACGAGACGCGTCCATCCCGTGACTCAGAAACCATTCTTGCTCTAGCTCTCCTGAGTGCTCGACGGCGTGGGATGCAAAAACCTTTTGGACAAGCATTGACATTCTCCACGGAGGGTGAGATCAGTCCTACAGATGTAATCTGTGAGTAATACTCAATGCTTCTAATGCATGCATTGAATTATTAAACAGCATACCTTGAAGAGAACGTTCTCCAACATGTCGACAGGACATCCTGCCCACCGCCACATATTCTTCTATACGCTGCGCAACAGCTTATAGAGTCTTCTTTAAACTGCGACAATATCCAGACGTTACTTGAAGTACTCGCAAACATTGAGGAAGTTCGACAACGAGCAACTCAGCAGGCTCGCACGGCTCTCAGACTGCAGGAGGCTTTTTTGGAGGAGCAGGAACCAGATATACGGTTACTTAACGGAATGGAGTGTAGGGCGTTGGAGAGCATGTCCTCAGTAGAAACGGACGAGGCTACGAGACTGATCTTTCGAGAAGACGTCGTGTTGAATCTGTACCGCTTGGTGAGTTTTAGCCACCATCCAACACATTTCATTTGTTTATTTACATGGATACATTATGCAGCGCATATGTCATCTATGGACGTCTCCAAAATCATACACCATAGGCAAAGTCATGCGCACGTACTTTCCATCGAAGTATGCCCGTGAGGGGAACCCATTCGCAGATGAACAATGGACCGGTGTATTGCATTATGGTCTAACGCGAGCAGAGCGCGAACGAGTGCATGAAGTGGGAAGAGAAATGAAATCATGCCTGTCAAGAGCAATGGCATGGGATCTTGAGCGTAAAAACTATTTCGAGGAACTCGGGTAAGTATTTTCCCTTTTCTCAACCGCCGCTATGCACACGCTTAACTTATGCGTCTCTTTCAACAGTCTCAGCGAAGAAGTTATATTCGGCGAGAGCGAATTTCTTTCGTACAAGCGGGACTTCGATGCAAAATTTCGAAATACAATTGATGAGGCGGGCATGATGGAGGGGCTGAAGGCATATCTAAAGAAGGTGCAGCGAGATGTGAACGTGCTGGAGAAGCTCTTTGCAAGTGGGCAACAATGAGTGGAGGATCCTTTTGCAGCTATGTATGCGCGATAGACAGATCCGAGGGGATAAGAACATACTGAAAAAGGCGAGAGATATCAGCGGTAAGACACGTAGAGATGAGTTATGCAGGCAGGCAACGCAATCTGTAGTTGAATAAACGATTAGTGCATTTCTATCTTTCTGAGCACTCAATTACAGGTAAAGAACGTTTTGTGACTCATTACAGTATACAATGCATCGATGACTAAAAGAAATATATTAGGAATAGAGTCATAAAGTCTGTCCGCTAGCCACTAAATTTTGAGTTCATTCAGCTGGATCAAAGCACTCCTGCCAATGTGAACTAAATTCAGAAAGATGTCTTTATATCATTGCCCTGTCGAATACATATGTGTCCAGGGTCCAGATCTAGCGTGTAACCAGAATGTCTCCCACGACAAGGAACAGTGAGAGAAGACATCAGACGCTTCTCTGAGTTCCCAGTCACTCAGAAACTCGCGGATGTAAATCATAATAAATCCCAATGTCCTCGCCTCGATACATATTCGCCATGAATTATCGATAGAGATTATAATGGTGTTACTCACGTTAACATAATACCAAGTGTCTATTCTACAATTGTGCGCAAGTGTTGTTCGAACTTTGAGACTTCTGTTACTTCAAATGTCGGCACACTGGCTCTGAAGTGACTGCATTTGCTCCCGGACGCCATCCTTCGCAGCGCTGAATCACAATGCTCTCACCTTAGTACATGCTATATCCCTGTATTTGGACTTATAGAGACTACAGACACATTGTCTACTCGTTTCTGTGGGTTAGGTGGTGTTGATGAATGACCGTAGGCTTTCATCATGATACTTTAAATAAGCAGAAGCTGATGCCGCAGATCACGAGTCTTCATTCTTAACTCCCACCTCTCCCACCTCTCCCACCTCTCCCACCAGAGGATCATGTCCACAGCCACTACCAGCCACTACTCCCTCGAGGGTTTGTCTCCTAATCACGCTGTTACGCTTTGCCTGACCTTTCTTTCAGTCAAACGCTTTGCAGGCATCCAGAATACATCCAAGCCGCGCCGGCTAAAAGTGGCAATCGAATTTGGTAAACAATGTATGGAAACTGGTGAAATCAAGCCAGATGGATCACCTGCATGGAATGGCACTCTTACTTTGTAGGTATATCAACTTTTGCTGCACCACACTTGCTCACTATCACCACAGCTCATTGTCGGACAAATTCTCCATTCTCAAAATTCGTGTCATCGAAATATCTAAATGGCGCAATTCTTGCGTTGCTTGTGCGGATATGGAACTTTCGTATCTGCTGAGAAATCATGCTGACGGCACAGGTATGATCAACAGTAATCTCCTAATATTCAGGCTAAGATACACATGTTTTGAGACCCGTTGAACCTATTTGCACCACCTGGCTCAAACTCGGCTCCCGCGGGTAGGGTTTACCTGCGCCTCAAGGAAATAGATGAGGCAGGCCGTGCCGAGATTGATGTCAAGTGTGCAGAACAAGATATCGAGCGGATCGCATGCTCCGCAAATGCCGCAGATCCTGTCGATGCGGTTGGATCGGTAGTCGAAGTGGTAGATAAAATCGTGGAATCAATTGGTGATATTGTCGGAGATGTAGGTCTACACCTGTACCTCGCATAGACCTGCTCATGATGCTTTGTACTTAGATTCATCCGTACCTTAAACTGGCGTGGACGGCGGCTACTGCTTTATACAAGGTTTCTTGCGCAAGACCCACCGCAGTTAAGTTTTACTTACGCCGGGTTGTGAAAACAGGTTATTTCCCATCAATGGAAGGCCGACAAAAAGCTTGTCGACTTAGTTCAAGCTATGCAGGGTGCCTATGAATTTGCTCGCATCGCAAGTGACTTACATGATAAGGTGTCATGGCTTAAGGAGTCTATTGGAGATATCCTGAAACATACTATTCGGGTTTGCCATTTCGTGAAAGAATATACGGCGCGCAATTTCATCGGTACGCGATCTATCCTAGATCATCTTTCAGTTATGAATATCCATGTTAGAGAGGATACTGAAGATAAACAGCGGCAAAAAAATGGACGAGTATAAAGATCAATTCGTTGCCTTCAGACAGGACGTGGACTCGGGTGTTGCTCTGCACAATGCCTCCGCTGCGGATCGTACGTCCGTTAAGGTTGACGGTGTATCAATCAAGGTCTATGATATTGGTGCGTGTCGACAATGTCATGCAAGGCACCTTACCTATATTGGGGACAATGTAATAGGTTTGCAGCAACAGTTTCAGGTGGAAGAACAGAGGCTTCAATCGCTTGAGAAACAATTGGATCCAATCAAGTCAGACACGTTTGGCCGACCACGTTGCCTTAAGGACACACGAACCGGATATCTTGACAAAATCAAGGCATGGCTGCATTCGCCTTCAACGGAGACAAATATACTCTGGCTTAACGGAGTTGCTGGGTCTGGAAAGAGCACTGTCGCTACCTCCATTTTGGACTACTGTGACAGTGGCTCCTGCTTAGCAGCGTTTCTTTTCTTCGAACGGGGGAAATCAGAGCCTAAATCCATTATTAGGACGATTGCTTACCAACTCGCAGCGTTCAAGCCGGAACTTGCCGCACTCATTATTCCTGCTGCGAAGAAACTAAGCAATATTACCGGTTCCACGCTCATGACGCAATTCGAGACGCTTCTCTTGGAACCATTAAAGGCTTTTGTTGATCCTGTCAAGGATCCGATAGTTATCATTCTCGATGCGCTGGACGAATGTGGAACAGCGGGGCAACGGCAAGAGATCTTAGAGCTACTGAAAGTCGACTTTGCACAGTTGCCGATGTCATTCCGCTTTTTCGTTACGAGTAGACCGGAAAACGATATTCTCAAGTCCCTTTTGTCCAGATCACATATACACGAGATCAAGCTAGAGCCCGCTTCAATCGAAAGCCAGAAAGACGTTCGGGCTTACATGGATAAAGAGATGCGCGAGGCGGTGGAGGACCTGGTGCTTGATGAGTCCGCGTGGCTAAATAAGATGGATAAACTTAGTCGTGCTGCTGACGGTCTGTTCATCTGGGCGTCGACGGCGATTAAGGTTGTTTCCAATAGCGATGATCCATTTAGAAAACTTGATGAGCTCGTGTCTGATATCCGTTCGCTCAACGGTCTCGACAATCTGTATGCTACAGTGCTGGAGCAGTCGGGAATCGCATGGGAAGATCCGAAGTCTGTTGAACAGTTCGGGAAGGTCCTCGGGCTGATTCTTTTCGGAAAAGAGCCTGTTTCTGGTGATGATATTAACGATATCTTGAACCTTGGAAAAGGGAAGTCGCACCTGACGCTCCAGAGATTGCATTCTGTTCTCTCCTATGAGCCTGGGAAACCCGTGCGGTTGCATCACGCATCGTTTGCCGACTACCTTTTGTCAGCCGAGCGCTCGGGTAATGGACGATGGTTTATTGACACTAATGTTCAGAGACACACACTTGCGGCTCGATGCTTCGACGTTATGAAGCAGTCGCTACGTTTCAATATATGCAATCTGGAGACGTCGTTTATTCGTAACGATGATGTTCCTGACCTCAAGGATCGGATTACAGAGAACATACCATCATATCTTCTATATGCTTGCCGGTTCTGGGCCGAGCATCTCCGCGACATTCCGTATTCTGTGGACGTCGCATGCAAACTAACAGATTTTGCAAACAAATACATGCTGTATTGGTTTGAGGTGCTCAGTCTGACGAAGCAATTTAGTCGCATTTTCGGTCGAGCGCTCCTGAATGCTGTCATGTGGACTTCAGTTAGTACAACCAAATCGACTTGCTTGTATGTTATTGATTGCGTCCATAGGTGGACAATAGCGATGTTTCATCGTTTTTGTGGAATGCCTACAAGTTGGCTGTCATTTACTCCTTGCCGATTTCGCAAAGCGCTCCTCACATCTATCTCTCTATGCTTTCCTTCTCGAAAGAGGATTTTGATGTATCGAAAAATTTCTCCGAGTCTCATCCCATTATCCAGACTTACCGATCAGGAACTAAGACGATGACCACATGTATTAAAATCTTCAGTGGTCACACAGGCGATGTCAACTCAGTTGCGTTTTCACCCGACGGGAGGCGGGTCGCCTCTGGCTCAGACGATTTGACGATTCGTATTTGGGATGCCGAAAGTGGTGAGGTTGTTGCGGATCCATTTGAAGGACACACAAACTGGGTCACGTCTGTTGCTTTCTCATCGGACGGGAAGCGCGTCGTTTCTGGGTCACGCGATAAGACGGTTCTTATTTGGAATGTTGAAACTGGGGAGATTGCCATGGGCCCGCTTGAAGGGCACATGGATGACATCACTTCTGTCGCTTTCTCGTTGGACGGGAAATGGGTTGTCTCTGCTTCAAATGATTGCACGATTCGTGTTTGGAATACTGAAAGTGCGGAGGTCGTTACAGGTCCGTTTGAAGGGCATACAGAGAGTGTCGTATCTGCCGTTTTCTCGCCTGATGGGAGGAGCATCGCCTCTGGCTCAGCTGATTGCACGATCCGTATTTGGAATACTGAAGGCAGGAAGGTCGTTGCAGGCCCGCTTAAAGAACACAGAGATTATGTCCGTTCTGTTGCTTTCTCGCCTGATGGAAGGCATGTTGTCTCAGGCTCCGACGATTGCACAATTTGTGTTTGGAATGCTGAAAGTGGCGCACACAAACTGTGTCGTATCTGTTACTTTCTCACCTAACGGGAGGCGCATTGTCTCTGGCTCATGGGATTGCACGATCTGTATATGGAATGCTGAAAGCGGTGAAGTTATTGCAGGCCCGTTTGAAGGGCACACAAACTGTGTCATGTCTGTTGCTTTCTCACCTGATGGGAGGTGCATTGTTTCCGGCTCACGGGATGGCACGATTCGCATTTGGGATACCGATGCTATCGAAGGTACACCGAACAAACAAAATGGGCACACCAATACTGTAGCTGCACTCAGTTTTTCACCTTGCGGAAAGCATGTGGCTTCTGGTTCATACGATTGCACAATCCGGGTTTGGCATGCCGAGACTGACGAGTTAATCGTGGGCCCGATTAAAGGACACACAGACTATATATTATCACTTGGTTTTTCACCCAATGGACGGCAAATAGTCTCCGGTTCAAACGATCATATAATTCGGATTTGGGATGCCTTTAGTGGGAAGATTGTCTCAGGACCGTACGAAGGACATACAGGTGGCATCACCTCTGTTGCTTACTCGGCTAATGGCACTCGCATTGTCTCTGGCTCCCACGATAACACTGTTTGTATATGGGACGTGGAAACGGGTAGCATTGTATTTAAAAGGAAAGCAAGTGTTTCCACTACTACTTTCTCTCCTGATGGACGGTTCATTGTTGGCAGCTCAGTTTATGACAATGCCATCCAGGTCTGGGATACTGAAACTGGCGAGATTGTGCCTGGTCAAGACAGAGCCCATTTAGATTATGCTAGATCTACTGAATATTCGTATGATGGAAAGTATGTTGTTGGCGGATCTTATTCCCGCACTCTTAAGGTCTGGGACATTGCAACCGGCAGTGTTATATGGGGTCCAGTTGAAGGACATACAGACTATGTTAGGTCGGCTGCCTTCTCTCCTAATGGGAAGCACATTGCCTCTGGTTCTTGGGATGGGACAATTTGTATTTGGGATATTGGAACCAGTAAGACATCACTACCAGTCTACGTTAATTATGTTTTAACTTTCCCCTACTATCTTTAGCTGCCTTCCAGCGGGATAATGATCCATCAGAGGGGCTGACAAACATACCAAGGACAATCCGTGGTGAAACCAGTACAACACTCCCAGATGAGTATACTACTCCAAACTGGACCATGTCCAATGATGGGTGGATCATTGGTGAGCGAGGCGAGTTGCTTATATGGATCCCCCCCGATCAGCGCACCAGCGTTTTGCGTCCTCACAATATAGCCATTCCTGGCGCCCCATTTACTACAAGATTAGATTTCGCCAATGCACCAATCGGTACAAAATGGACCGAAGGATTTGGTACAAAACACTAGTTACAGTAGGATTATGTCGTAAGAACTCCCCTGGTTAAATTATTTTACGTCCCAACCGAGAATTGATTAGATGTCTTTAATCTGCCTTGTATGTCTCCAGAGTAGATGTAGAACGTGACCAGAATTACTGTATCTCCTGGGAACAGTGAGAGATAAAAGACGCTTCTCAGAAACTCGCGGATGTAAATCATATGAACTCCGACGACTTTGCTTCGACACATAGTATTCGTCAAGAAGTTATTGACGATAAAATACGTACCCTTCATGCAAAATGGAACGCGGGCACACTTTAGCCTCTGAGGCATTTCAATTCATCACGTGTGCCTCTGAAATTGACATGCGTGCACAATGTACATGGTCCATCGAACTCGCTCCTGATCCACCACAATACTCAGCACCGAATCACTCTCATCTCAGCAAATGCTTTGCCAACAGACTGGTTGAACAATGAAATTACCAACGTGTTGACAACCTGACTCAGCTGATCTGACTTGATCATCGATTTGAGCACGCCGAGTCCCGACGCGTCCGAAGAGCGCTCCACAGGCACTTTGCAGAAAGAAAATGACAGACGCATTCAGACCACCATCCACAGATCATGCCAAACTCTTTAACGCGTCATGTTAGCCTGAACGCAGGGTCCTGGGTGCTTGAGACGCTCGTAAAGCATTATTTCGACCAGCTGTTTAAAGATAGGAAGGGTACATTTGATGCGGTCACGGTTGTTGGAGAGAATAGAAAGATCAGGCGAGAGGAACTTCTTTACGATGAAGTATTCCACATCGTAAAGGTGCGTGCATGCTTTATGTCATATGCCTGTTTGAAGCTAAAAGGGTATCAGACGTTCTTAGATGTATCGACTCAGTGAGCATTTCGAGCTACGCGGCACGCCACTCACTCTGACTTTTTATCAGCCACACGATAGAAGAACTTCAACAGTTCTCTAATACACGGACGCCGAGCGCACCATGGATGCATGTCACGCATGTGCGCATCCCTATGTCTATCTGCAACGATGCAGCGCGATACCTTATAGAAACGCTTGGTGGGGAAGAAATAACACGTCGAGTTGTTGGCGGAACGAAGTGGTGGCAAGTACGCGGGATCAGGGGGTCAGTCAACTCCTCGATCGATTCCACGTTTTGTTAATGATGAATGATTAGGGTCGATGCGCAGTGGATTGTTGCGAAGAAGGACTATGAACGAATCAAGAAACAACGGAAGCGTCAACAACAACAACAGGCGGATCAGTTGAGGAAAGAAGCCACGGAGAATGAAGAAGAAGACGCAGTGTACGACCCTGAGATGGACGAACTCCGATGTATTCTGTATTTTCACGGCGGTAAGTCGATATCTCTTCAATTTCAAGTCTGTATTAAGGGCTTCTTTCTGCAGGAGGATATTATTTTGGAAGTGTAGATCAGGAGAGGTATGATGGCTATTGAAACTTGTAACCGGATACTGATTCCGACTAGATACTTTCTTCAACGCTTTGCGCGGAAGTCTGGATGCCGAATGCTTGCTGTATCATATCGACTTGCACCTCAATACCCTTTCCCTTGTGCTATCCAAGATGCATTAGCATCGTGTAAGCTATGGTTACTTATATTATTTCTGGATGGCTATTAACATTCCGGCAGATTTATATTTAATTCGGCCACCACCAGACGCACCTCATACCCCTGTAAACCCTGCACATATTATTGTTGCCGGCGACTCTGCCGGAGGAGGACTCACGCTTGCCTTACTCCAAGTACTCCGTGATGTTAATCTGCCGATGCCGGCGGGCGGCATTCCTATATCTCCATGGTGTGACCTCACGCACTCTTTCCCCAGTATCCATATCAACACGGACACGGACGTCATACCAAAATATGGCTTATCGATCTACAAGCCGTCAGTCCTGTGGCCACCGCCGTCGGAGGAGCTTACAGATAAAGTGCAGGCGGGTCTACGTTCGCGGATCAAGCAGGTTGCACATCAATATCGGAGAGAAGTTAACGTGGAAGAAGTCAGAAGACAACCCACTAAGCGACCGAGCTTTTGGAAGCGTACAGTGTCTTTTCGCAATCGTGAGAAACGTGAGGAGGGAAGTGTGTCCAGGGGTCGGTCCGCGTCTTGCAATGCCTCAAAGGAGACACTTGCAGATCATGCGCGAAGCGGGGACATTCGAGCTTCTGTCGTAAGGTCCATATCGCGACAATCTTCACGGCAAAGCGAAAGAGGGTTAAACGCAGGACCTACAGCACACCTACCGACGGCTGATGAAGCAAATACTCAGACTCTCAGCGTGGTAGCAGAAAATGGCGAGGTGATACAAGTGCAGGATCAGGTGCACATGTATGCGCCGAACACGCTTCTGTTGCATCCACTTGTAAGTCCCGCATTGGGATACCTTGGTGGATTGCCTCCGCTTCTTGTGATCGTGAGCGATGGAGAGGTCCTGAGAGATGAGATCATTTACGCGTTAGTATTACCTTGCTTGATTCTCAACTTCTGCTCATGGCAATTTTTTGCAGTGCTCACAAGGCTGCTCATCCTGAGCGATATTCTGTCAAGCCTGAAGCAAGAAAGTTGTACCCAAAGCTTGAAGGTATTGAGGAACGATGTGAGCCAACGAAAGTACACCTTCAGGTCTATGACCGTATGTCTTGTATCCTCATTTGGTCCTATCAGTCCGTCGCTTATTAAATTCATCATCGTTTCAGAGGCTGCACATACGCTTCCGGTCTTGTTCTTCGCATGCAGAGCTGCGAAGTTCTGCTTCCGTGCTATGTCGATATTCAGCAGATACACGTTCGGCACCCTTCCGGCACAGCCCTCACCAAGTCCTAGCTCAAATAATGAAATCTCACCCCAAAGGAAAGGGTTTCGGCGATCCATTTCGCTTTCAGCGTCTGTCTCGAGGCGTCTTTCCATGATGGGAGGTCGCAAACGCCATGTCTCTTTTACCCAAGATGAAGTTGGACAAGAAATACCTAATGGCGAAGTTCTGAGTCCTATCTCTCAGGCTAGCAGCCCTAGTCGACTCAGCGAGTCAAGCAGTAATTCGTCCTCACTCGGAGGACTGAATTCGCACCCTCAGTTGGACCAGGAGGTAATGCGTTTTGCTGGTGACCCTGTCGTTTATCAGAGACGCAATGGTGGCCTTCCCTCGGCATTCATAGACAATATGATTCGAGAACGCGTTTCCACGCGGGGAGAAATCCGTCCACTTGAGCCAGAGGACCAGCTCCCCGCATGCACTGTTCCTCCTGGACGAGTTGGCGTGGCAAGCGAGCTTGTTTTGCGCAGATATCTCGAAGGCAGCACGAAGTGGAACGAACGGTTCGCGAAGGCGAAGGAGACTATCCGTAAACAACGTGCGCAGAGTTTGAAACTCGCTAGGAACGACACCGTACGAAATGTTACGCAGCTTCAGATGCACTTCTTCCAAAATGCTGACGAAGAGAGGGAGCGGGAGGATGGAGATGTTGACCCGAATGTAACCATAGATGGTTCGGTTAGGGAAGGATTACGAACGTCTGCAGCAAGTTGGGCGTGGGCTTGGGCACTAGATGGTGCGGAACATCCTCCACCTAGTAGTATCGTCGCGAGACGGGATACCGAGGAAGCGCGCCGGCTTAGTCGAATCGCAGACTTACCGGCTGATACACATGACCATCGGATGAGCGGGAACAACCTCTGGTCTTATCTCGTAAACAAGCTGAGTCTGGAAAAGAGCGAGGCGAAGGATGAGCAGCGCGCTGTCGAGAGAAACGAGGCGGACAGTAATGGGAAGGAGGCTTCCATTGATTCTGCTGGGGAGACCGAAACGACAGCGAGACAGGACATGTCCCAGATGAAAGAAAAGAGAATACATTGGCCGAGATCCTTGTCGAGAACTGTGATGAGATCGAAAGCCGCAAAGGAAGGAGATAAGAAAGTCCAGACACCAGGTGGCACAAGCGTTCCAGTATCCCATACGAATGGAAACAATGACTCTATCGGAATGGGCACTATCGGATAAGGATACAGACTAATTATAATTTATCGTGGCTTTCGGATTTATCATGTTCTACTACTCACAGAGTAAACTGTCCTTGCTAGTGAGAAAGATATTATAGTAACATTTTTGCGTTCTCTTTCGCTTTGCAATGCAACATGATTTGCTCATCGGCAAATGCCGATCACGATCTTTCCTCAATTCAGGCAACTCAGACTACTGTCCTCCATAATCCCACCCAGTGGAATCTCTGTCTACGTATATCTCACAACTGGAATACCTGCTGTCAAACTCTACCCACTGCTTTCTATGTCAGTGCAGAGCAGTAATTAGAGGTCACGCGAGCCACTGGAGTTTGACTCACGCTGGGGTTAGTCGCATATCAGCATGGCAGATTCATCGTCCCATACGCCTTGAACGCCACTTTGCGGGCAAACAATTACGCTATACAATGGCAATAGCAAGCGATATTTGAGCACATTGAAGTGAGGAAGGGAGATGTAGCGCTTGTCCCACCATGTCTACCATCTCGAGACGTACGCTAAAATCGGTACCCGCTCTTCTGTGGTTCCAGGTAGAGCACCTTCTCCAGAGAAACGTTGGGAAATCGGGAAAGCCTATAAATTCTCTCGACGACGATCCCGGATATAGAGAAGCCTTTGAGTTTTCCAAGGTATGCTTATCGTCTCATGACTCGCATACACTTGAGGCTTGACCACATTATATAGTTCATCATGGAGGAATCTACGAAGTACGTTACAAATGATTTACCACGTAGCACGTGTCCTGACGTGCAGTAGGTATACAATTGAAGAAATACAGCAGGTGGGCAACGCGCCAACGCCAGTAACGCCGGATATGAAAAAGATACCGGTAGTTATACCGATGGACGTTTGCGGCGAAGCGGCCAAGAAGCTCATAGAAGTACTGGGCGGGGAAAAGATAACACGTCAATTCGTTGGGGGTACTGTTTGGTGGCAGGCACGCAGCATCGACGGGTCAGTTTCTTTAGCTGATTTGAGGTCTATGAGTCTAATACAATATAATGATTAGCATCGACGCTCAATGGATCATAAGAAATGATAAAGAAGTTAGAAAGCACAAGAGATTTCATTTATCTAGACGTCTTCAGCCAGAAGCGCCGGATAGAGTTTCTGAATACGACCTTGACATGAACAAATTGCCTTGCCTACTATATTTTCACGGTGGTAAGCGGTTGATTGTTACTCTTCCTCTCCGACGTTAAACGACTATATAGGGGGATATTTCACGGGAAGCGTGGATCAAGAGAGGTAATTACATATCTCGCGGGCCATCATAAGTATTGACGTTGTGTAGGTACGCAATTGAAGTCATGGCCCTGATGCCTGCTATCCGAATCTTTGCTGTATCATATCGACTCGCCCCTCAATACCCTTTCCCTTGTGCAATTCAAGATGCTCTGGCATCATGTACGCTTGTATATGTTTCCAGCCGTAACGTCTTCTCAAGCATAGTATTTAGATTTATATTTGATCGATCCTCCGTCCGATGCGAAGCATAATGTTAATCCGAAGCAACTTATCATTTCCGGGGATTCTGCAGGAGGCGGACTTGCTCTTGCGCTACTTCAGATCATCCGCGACCTAGGTCTGCCTAAACCTGCTGGAGGCATCCTCATATCACCTTGGTGTGACCTTACACACTCATTCCGTAGTATTCATTCCAACACAGAGACAGACTTCATTCCTAAGTATGGTCTTTCAATCTACAAGCCCTCTTCCCTATGGCCACCGCCGCCTGACGAGCATGTAGTCAAGATGCACTCAAAGATACGCTCCCATGTTAATCAAACCACAGGCCGGAAAGGACACGCATCCACTACCAGTCGCAGGAAACGGGACGTTCGGAGTGACTCCACCAATCGTAGCTCTCCTAAGTCTTCGCAGAAAGCATCGGCAAATTCCGTAGAAGATGGAGACGTAACTGCTACCGCTGCCAGGAAGTCGGGGACGTCGTCATCACCAAGACGAGGTGGAGGCAAAGAGACAGTGGATCGTGTGCCGTCAGCATCCTTTCCAAGGACGGACACAACAAATGACCAAACGTTGCGTGTTAAGATGGAGGACGGAGGAGTAATAGAAGTGAAAGATCAAATGCATCTATATGCACCGAACAACCTTCTCAGACATCCGCTCGTGAGCCCGGCCTTGTCATACCTCGGCGGGCTCCCTCCACTATTTGTGTTCGCAGGCGACGGTGAAGTGTTGCGCGACGAAATCATTTACACGTCAGTATCGAAGTTGCTGAAATTCTAATTCGTACCCTCTGATCATAGCCTTCTTAGTGCTCATAAAGCCGCTTATCCCAAACGCTATCCTGTACATCCAGAAGCAAGAAAGTTGTATCCCAAACTTGAAGGTATTGAGGATCACTTCAAACCAACCTGGGTGCATCTTCAGGTTTATGACAGTCAGTTCCTCGTTCCGTCCACACCATCGTGCAGTATGAGTGACCACCAGTTTCAGATGCACCTCATGTATTTCCAATCTTATGTTTCCTCTGTGATTCTAGCCGTCCCTGTTTTAGGTCTATGTGGACGTTCATCAAGGAAGTGACTGTTCCGATGAAAGCGGAAAATACTTCAGCTAATCAATACGCACCAAGAGAACGCGCAACTGAACAGACTGGTTCCATCAAGGCCACAAAAGGCAACGATGACCCCGTCCAAGCAACTCAAGCAAGTGCATCCGAAGGTCGTGCTTGCTCATGTGGGGAACCTGAGCAACATGTGCTACTTGCATATAGCAGCAGGCTATATAGTCGGCCTGCAGAGGGCGAGACTTCTCCGTACCAGCAAGACACGATGATAAGAGTTCGAGTATCCGCAAGAGGAGAGATTCGTCCGCTTGAACGAGAAAGCGAATTAGATGCATGCACCATGTCGCCTGAGAAAATTGGTGTCGTAAATGAACGTGTGGCACGTAGGTATATTGAAGGCAACAAGAAATGGAAGGATCGGTTCTCCAAAACGGAGAAGAGAATCCGCAAGAAGCGGGAGACGAAGTTAAAGGATGCAAAGATCGTTCCTTCAAGCGAACGCAGACGACCACGAGAGCGCCCGCCACGGGTCAAATATGGAAAGCAGGATGCTGACAGTGTGTCTACCACAGCAGGAACTTCTCACCACGAGGGAATCTCGAATTCACAGAATAGGAACTGGGCGTGGGCGTGGGCTATCAGTGATGACGAGTGCCCACCCCCGAGTAGCATAGTCGCACGGCTTGATACGAAGGAGGCGCGTCAGCTTGCCAGGATAGCGGATAAACCGTGTACGGATCCGTGTAGGACCAGACTATGGTTAAGAATTGTCTGTGAAGCCAAGCGTAATAAAGAGAGATGCGAAAATGATAAGCATCAGGCTGAATACGACAATGGACGAAGACGCTCGACGCTCGACTCTGAGGACAAGCCAGCTCGGGTTGTGTCGCATGGAGTATCGAGTAAGCGCAGGATAAGAAGCACGCTTTCATTGCCACGAAGCAAAGAAATTATAGCCAATCATCTGTAATTTGTGAAGAAATGCCTTGTATCAATCTACTGCAGATGCGTGAAACTGAGAAAGGGTTATTATGGCTGAGACAATTGTGCGCCATTTATGCATGTATCCATGGTATACCCTCACACTTTGCGTTTTGTTCGTTTCTAGGGATGAATGCACTCACATCATTATTCATATACCACTTTCGATAATTTCAGATTCTTTCAGTTAAGTTTTATATCTATGTACGCAAACTTATATCTTGTGCCTCGTACTAGGAAATATTGACTGTTGCAATAATTCATTCAATTCTTAATTCCATGAATGCTCTATATAGATTATACTGGACTGCTGGTACTATATATAACTTGCCCTTTTGATTTCAGCCAAGAAAAAGAGTCAAAACCAAGATACTGGCACTGTAACTCAAACTTTCTAATAATGAGCATTAATTTGCTGAATGGAGACTCTCCCCACAAACAATAATTCATTACTATAGTAATAAATACCTAGCCACATAAGTACAAATTGTCATAAAGTTTGAACAGGGATCAAGGGATTAATAGCAAAGTGAACAGTTGCAGGTCACTGACCACAAGGGTGTTACTGACAGTATCCATGATTCCTCCCTCTAATCAAGTCTGCCTGCATACCTGTCAAAACAGGAACACCACCAGTAAAGGTCTGCCTATTGCTTTCGAGCCACTACATTTTTCCTCACTTCGAGGTATCAGTCACAGATCAGCATGACACATCTATCTGTCCTACATTCCTTGACAATACTTTGCAGTTTTCCTTGATTACATTATACAACAGGGATGGCAGGCAATATTTGAGCAAATTGAAGTAGGTTGCATCAGGAAAAAGTCCATTTAAATATAATGAATTACAGTCCATTTAAAGAAATATTAGCATTTTATATACATTGTAATTCATATGTAAGGGTTAGAACACAACTATAAGGATAAAATAAGGTATATTAATGTATATAAAGACTCTAAGAGTGTTATAAATCATTACAATTCATTGAATACATTATGATAACCTTACATTATAAGATAAAGTATTATACTTAGATTATAACTTTGAAGACAGACTAAAATTCACCTTGTAAAAGATTTTATATTGTTTGTATAAAGCATTCAGATACTTGTAAAAACTATATCAATGTGTTAAAAGTAATATAGACATGTCAGATTACTATCAACTGTATCATAAAGTAAAATAGTGCTTTCCTTTTACATCTAAATATAATGTTGGTTTTGTTTTACAGCTTTGCTACTATCACAAACATTGATTACATAATCAATGCTGAAGATTGAGAGCATATAATGACACTCTTACAGCTGTCACTCTTTCTCCTCAACCTCTACCATCTCTCTAAGTCTAACCCTCTACCCTAACACTATGTTGTTACTTTTGTTCTCTCTAGCCTAGTCCTCTACTTGTAAGCATCCTCTAGCAGGTACTCTGAGTGTAACAACACAGACAATAAACATTGCTACAACTTGTCTCTCCAATCTACTGTTACAGTGTCTGTACAGAGTCTCAGATTGTATGTTGTACTACTAAGCTGACTACACTGTCCTTTAATGTAAAGTAGTAAGTATCTAGTCTACTTTATAAAAGATTGTACAATAGTTACTCATTGTTACAATTCTCTACTCTTGTACCTTCAGTTCCAAGGGTTCTACACCCTTCTGTACTAGAACTCAGAACTTCTGTCTCTTAGGGGTGCTGTCTATAAACTATATGTATACTGACTCTTACTACTACCCTTCCTTACTTTATCATTCTATTCCTTTGACCACCCCTTCATTCTTTGTTCATTCTATAGTCTCTTACCCTTTGTCTATCCCTTCATTCTTTGTACCTTTATCTTTGACCTTCCTTTCTTTCATTCTTTATGGCTTATCATTCTTAGTAGCTTATACTCTCTAAGTACTCTTGTATAGTTTAGTATATATAGGCATACAAGATCAGACTAGTCCTGTAGTCTTGATCTTGTCTACTCTAGATAGTCCTGTACTCTTAGACTCACTCTATATACTCTACTCTTGTCTCACTCTCTCTCTCTACCTGTTCTACAAGTTCTGACTACATTCTAGTACTTACATTCTATATTTCTGTTGTGTAGAATAGTTGTAGCCTGGGTCCCCTTACTGAGCCTTCAGGTCCTCTCTACACTGTTACTAACATTAGATCAAGACTACTTATTACTACTCTACAACTCTCCTACATTTTGAGCATTAGTACTTACTGTTGTGTTAATCTCTTTTCTTTGTCCTAACCCTTTTACATTTTTAAATTTTAAACTTTCTAAATCCTTTTAAACTTTTGCCACCCTTCTTCTATTCATTACCCCTTTTAGTTTAGTACTAATTCCTTTGTAGTGTAAACATGAACCCTTCTACACTAACTGTCACCCCTACTGTCCTACCAGATTAGTAGTTACAAGTAGACCTAGCTTAATATGTGTAGACCTCTATCTAAGAGGCCTTTACTAACTACATACCCTTAGCCTCTTTGAAACCTGTTCTGATTGTTCTAGAAGTCACAACCTGTTCTAGAAAGAAAGTACATATAGCTCACCCTTTAGACTTTAATGAACAGTACTTTAAGGACTTCTAGCACTAAGTCAAACTATATGTGGCTACTACTTTGACCAATCTATTCTTAGATCTCAATTATATCCTATTTGTCCTCTCCTTTATAAAGGAAGGTAATATAACTATCTAGGCCTAAAACTGGATTGAAAGCTATTAGATTAGAAGCCTAATCTGACTTTAGAACAATGAGTCATATTTAGAATTCATAAGACAGCTCTGTACTTCCTTCATTAATCTGAATAAGAAGTACAATGTACAGAACAAGTTTGTGTCTCTGTAATAGAGCAAATGTTCTACTAATACCTTCTTTCAGGAGTTTAATATCCTAGCCTAGAAGGTAGGATTTGTACTCAGGTTTGATAATGTCCTTATTAGAATACTAGAAAAAGCTCTCCACCTAGAACTAGTTAATAAGATTCTTAGAATAATACTAGAACTGGTTACTTATACTGAGTAGAAGACACACACTATCTCCTTCAACTAAGCTGTAGCTTGAATGTATCAAGTCTGTGTAGAACACTTACACATGTGTTTAGCTCTGACAGTTCTAAGTCCTTAAATCAATCTGCCTATAATTTGTAATCAATCTGTTCTGATAAACATTAGAGAAGCCTGAAAGTAAGAAGTATACTTTACCTGTAGAAAGTCAGAGTACTAGATTAAGGACTACTTACAGAAACAATAGTATATCTGTTAAGTTATTAGAGTAATAATGAGTAACAAGTAGGATTTGTAGTAAGAAGCCTTTTCTACAAATCTAGAAGTCACCTTAGAACTCCTAGACCCTGACTACATACTTTAGGATTTTGTAGAGACCTAATAGTAAATATAGTACTAAAGGGTTATAACTCAGATTTTTTAATAGCTACTTTTGATTCAATAGACACTGTAGGATTAGAAGTAAATAAAGTAAGAAAAGTAGAAAAAGTAGAAAAAATAAATTAACAAAATTATTTATTAGAAAGAAAAAAGTTGAAAACAAAAGTAGATAGTTCTCTTATTTCTTCTGATTCTTTTAATCCTTCTCTTCACACTTTATCTGAGTCTAAATCTGTACAATCTGACCTACTACTTTTACATTCTAAGATCTTAGAACATTTAAAATACTATCTAGCCCTGTTCACTACTTAGTAGTTTGTCTATAGTATTAAGTAAGGATGGTCTCAGCTGAGTTTACAGCTAAGGACATGAGTCTGTCCTTGTTGAAAGAGAGAGGTTAATAAGGAAATGTTAGTACATATACTTACCCTCTTAAACAATAAAGCTACACAAGCTATACATTCCTTTTAGAACAAGTAGCAGTTTATTAGAGGATGTTCTGAGTACTAGCTTTAAGTCCCTATCCTCTTAGCTCTCTTCTCAGAATCCCTCCAGATCTAAACAATAACTCTAGTAGA